TTTTTTTTCTTTTTATAGTCCTTAGCCCATTCTGGAGTCTCTACTGAATTAACTGATGATTCCCATACACTGTTCTTGTAAAAGCAGCACGTAAATTAAATCTAATTATTAATTTGTTTTGTTGTGACTTTTTTAGTTTCAAAAAGTAGAATTCTTTGTGATTAGTTATACGTACACTATTTTTGAAATTATTTTCTATTATAGGTTATTACAAGATATTGTCTATAGTACTATACAATAAACACTGTGCTACACTGTAAACCTTCATTGCTTGTTGCATATCTATTTTTTGAAATTAGAAATCTAGCATTCAGTTCACACTAAGTCAAACAAGTAAAATCAAAATGTAGTTTTTTTCTAGTTAGGCAAAAATTCGTAAAGTTTCTAAAATATATATATTATACATATTATTTACATATATGTATATGAGAGCTTTTCTACTATGTTTGATAAAGGCTTGCTAGAAAACATGAAAAAAAAGAGAGATGGAGAAACTGGAAAACATAAACTAAATGAAATGGGAGCACTGAAAAGTTTCCTGTTTTTATTTGCTCCCCACCACCCCCTTTTTAGGTAGGAGACATAATGCCTTCCCAGAATGAAGCATCTCTTTATGTTAGGATGCGGGGTATTTTGGAATGCCAGGCTGCTCAGTTCTCCGATCTCGGTCTCACTTCACAAACCTGGACTACTGGACAATCTGATTTTTCTGCCTGGAATGTTTTCCCACTGAACTTCTCCTCCCTGGTAAAATTACCAGTAGTTGCTCATGACTCTTTCAAATCTGATCTCCATCCAGAAAGCCTTCCAGAGTCTCTAGAACTGTGTTAACACACAGTCATGTGAAGACCCTGAGCCCTTGGAAAGTGACTAGTGCAAGGTAAGATGTGCTAACACACACAGTGGATTTATGAGACTTAGTATACAAAAAAGAAGTAAAATGGTTCATTGATTTTCACACTGATTACATGTTTAAATACATTTTGGATATACTGGATGAAGGAAAACATAGTATAGAATTCATTTCATTTGTTTCTTTTCACTTCTTTTTGATGTGGCTACTAGAAAATTTTAAATTCCTTATATGGCTCATGTTTGCAGCTTACATTTTATTTCTATTGGATAGTACTGCTGGAGTCTAGACCATTGGTTTTGAAATCACAGGGGAAGTTGGAGAATGCAGCTGATCTGTGAGTTTCTGTCTGAACATCTGTGAAAGGCAATTTGGAGTGAAATAATTTAGTTTTCTGATGTGTCAATAACATAGTCAAGAATAACCAACAAACTAGTGGTTACTAGCAATCACCAGTAGAGGGGTGGAGGAGCAATATAGGGGAGTGGGACATAAAGACTATTGGGTGTAAGATAGGCACAGTGATGTACTGTACAACATGCAGAATATAGCCAATATTTTGTAGTAGTATAAATTGAGTGCAACTTTTAAAAATGTATAAAAAATAAAATTAAAAAGTAATAAATAATCAAAATAAAATAAAAGAATAATCAATGAAGAATGAATGTATTAGGTCTTTGTTGTTACATACAACAGCATTAATCTTCCACTAATTTTGCTGAAATGCCCATTTCTTCCCTTTCCATCTCTAACCCTGGGGACAAAGGAAAATGGTGTGACAGTGTGTATGCATGCATGCTAAGTCACTTCAGTCATGTCTGACTCTGTGTGACCCTACGGACTGTAGCCTGCCAGGCTCCTCTGTCCCTGGGATTCTCCAGGCAAGAATACTGGAGTGGGTTGCCAGGCCCTTCCCCAGGGGATCTTCCCAACCCAGCGACTGAACCCGCATCTGTCTCCTGCATTGGCAGGTGGGTTCTTTATCATTAGAGCCACTGAGGCTCATTGGAAAAGACCCTGATGCTGGGAGGGACTGGGGGCAGGAGGAGAAGGGGACGACAGAGGGTGAGATGGCTTTTTGTTGTTACATACAACAGCATTAATCTTCCACTAATTTTGCTGAAATGCCCATTTCTTCCCTTTCCATCTCTAACCCTGGGGACAAAGGAAAACAGTGTGACAGTGTGTATGCATGCATACTAAGTCACTTCAGTCATGTCTGACTCTGTGTGACCCTACGGACTGTAGCCTGCCAGGCTCCTCTGTCTCTGGGATTCTCCAGGCAAGAATACTGGAGTGGGTTGCCAGGCCCTTCCCCAGGGGATCTTCCCAACCCATCGATTGAACCCGCATCTGTCTCCTGCATTGGCAGGTGGGTTCTTTATCATTAGAGCCACTGAAGCTCATTGGAAAAGACCCTGATGCTGGGAGGGACTGGGGGCAGGAGGAGAAGGGGACGACAGAGGGTGAGATGGCTGGATGGCATCACCATCTCCATGGACATGAGTTTGAGTAAACTCCGGGAGTTGGCGATGGACAGGGAGGCCTGGCGTGCTGCGATTCATGGGGTCAGTTGGACACGACTGAGTGAATGAACTGAACTGAACTGAACTGAACTGAGGATAGTGTGTGTAGAGTCTTATTTTTTCAGTTGACTAGCCCCTGGACTGAGCAAACAAAATGTAATAAGCTCAGAGCAGAATAAAGAAAAAACAATGAAAATAAATGAGGACAGTCTCTGAGACCTCTGGGACAATATTTGAATTATAGGGTCCCAGAAAAAGAAGAGAAAGAGTCTGGGAAGATATTTGAAGGATTATAGTTGAAAACTTCCCTACCATGGGAAGGGAAATTGCTATCCACATCCAGGAAGCACAGAGAGTCCCATACATGATAAACCCAGCACACAGAAACATGTATTAATTAAACTAACAGAAAAATTAAATACAAAGAAAAATATTAAAAATCAGCAAGGGAAAAGCAACAAATAACACACAAAGGAATCCCTGTAAGGTTATCAACTGATTTTTCTTCAGAACTTTTGCAGGCCACAAGGGAGTAGCAGGATAGATTTAGAGTGATGGAAGAGAAAAATCTAACAAAGATTACTCTACCCAGCAAAGGTCTCATTCAGATTGAATACAGAAACCAAAAGCTTTACAGACAAGCAAAAGTGAAGAGAATTCAGCATTACCAAACCAGCTTTACAACAGATGCTAAAGAAACTTCTCTAGGCAGGAAACAAAAGAGACGAGAAAGACCTACCAGAAAAACCCAACACAATTAAGAAAATGGTAACAAGAATATGCATATCGATAATCACCTTAATGTAAATGGATTAAATGCTCTAGCCAAAAGACACAAACTGAATAGATACAACAATAAGACCTGCATACATGCTGTCTGGGGCTTCCCTGGCAGCGCAGCTGGTAAAGAATCTGCCTGCAATGCCGAAGTCTGTAGTTCAATTCCTGGGTTGGGAAGATCCCCTAGAGAAGGGATAGGCTACCCACTCCAGTATTCTTGGGCTTCCCTGCTGGCTCAAATATAAAGAATCTGCTTGCAATGCAGGAGACCTGGGTTCAACCCCTGGGTTGGGAAGATACCCTGGAAGAGGGCATGGCAACCGCACCAGTATCCTTGCCTGGAGAATTCCATGGACAGAGGAGCCTGGTGGATACAGTCCATGGGGTCACAAAGATTTGGACAGGACTGAGCAAGTAAGCACAGTACAGCATATACACTATCTACGAAAGACCCACTTCAGATCCAGAGACACACGCAGACTGAAAGTGAGGTGGGTAGAATAAGATATTCCAGGCAAATGGAAATCAAAAGAAAGCTGTAGTAGTAATACTCATATCAGACAAAATAGACTTTAAAATAAAGACTATTATGAGAGACATGGAAGGACACTACATGATGATCAAGGGATCAATCTAAGAAGAAGACATAACAATTAGCTCCTCTCGGCCGCTGCCCAGTCAGTGCTTACTAATTGTTTATTATTAATATAGCCTTTTAGTAAAAGAGAATCAGTGGAACCACTACTCTAGCATGCTAGTTAATTCTGTGTAAAAAGAAGGGCTAATCTCTACGTTAAAACATTGTGTTCAATCGCTCAGTTGTGTCCGACTCTTTGCGACCTCATGGACTGTAGCTCTCCAGGCTCCCTGTTCATGAGGATTCTCCAAGCAAAAATACTGGAGTGGGTTGCCATGCCCTCCTCCAGGGATCTTCCCAACCCAGGGGTCAAATGCAGGTCTCCCGCATTGCAGGCAGATTCTTTACCATCTGAGCCACCAGGGAAGCCCAAGAATACTAGAGTGGCTAGCCTATCCCTTCTCCAGGGGATCTTCCCGACCCAGGAATTGAACCAGGGTCTCCTGCATTGCAGGTGGATACTTTACCAGCTGAGCTACCAGAGAAGCCCACTTTAAAACATTAATGATGGAAAGTAAACTGAAATGTGACCAGAAAAAAAAAAAAGAAACACCTATCAATATTACTGGTTGGTAAAATTTGTCATCTGCATTTTATAAGGAGGAAACTGTGGCTTAGAAATTATGTGACTTGGTAAACATTTCAATTTTACATAATTAATTTGTGATTGAGCCAAAATTCCAAAGTCATGTTTATGCCAGTGGGAAGAAGTTGAATACAGTCAGAAGAGGCAGATATCATGGAAAATTCACAATATATATAGAAATGCACTTTACAATGATTTAGCCACTTCTTTCCACATGTTCCAAGCTCATTACCCCTCAATTCAGAGCCTACCCCCTCTTTGGGTCTCCTTGGATGGAAAAGAGCTCTCCTTTTCTTAATTTTCCAATATTCCTCATTCAGATCTGGACACACAGTGCTTTATTGTTAGCTTTTTATATGTACATGTCTTGTCTCTCCAAATAGACTAGAGCTGGCTTACTTTGAATTCCCCACAGTGTGTCTTGCTGAATGGGGGTTCAGTAGAACCATCTTAGTTTATTAACTACCAGACTGCTCAGCTTAGCTATTGAAAGGTTATGGTGTCTTTTTACAGTATCTGAACACTACAGAAACAACTGGCTCTTGGTTCAGAGACACCACGAGTTCAACTAAGCTGCCAAGCCAGGATCAAATAGCATGATGCTGAACATAGACATACCTGTAAAATGCAACTCATGATATCAGATGCGATTTTTGCATGGGGAGTGTCTTCATCTTTCCCAGAGGGCCTCAGGTTATGTTCCAAGCAGGAGTCCCAGAGCCCCACAAGGGCCTTTGCGTGCTTTTCAATCGACTCTGTCTCCCTGATGGCTGTTGTAATTCGCGTGATACAGATTTCAACCACCGCTTGGTCATTGTTATTGGTTTGGTAATCCTGTTTGAAAGAACAGGTTCATGTGAAACAATACTCTGGAAAATTACCCTTCAAAGAACCTACAAAATATGAGCTCAATCATAGAGCAAATGGGTTTGCCACACTGTGGTTAAGGGATAAGGTTGTAAAACCCAATAAAAGACCTTCTTCCTTGGAGATGAGAACCTTGTGGACAAGGTAGATTTGCAAACGTGCTAAAATGGAGCAGGTTTGTACTATCACAGATACACAGACAGGGAGCTTAATTATTCACTTGCAAGCAGGCTCAAATTTCATGCTATTTTAGAGTTCATTAGAGGTGAGGGTTTACTTTTGGCTCTGATATTTCAGAAACTTTTGTGAAATGTTTCAATTACCCTACAATTTCTCCTAGCGAGCTTTCTCTTTCTGTACACAACAGAAATCTTTTCAGCTCTCCCTTTTCAATTAAAATACCCACCAAATCCTTTTAAGTGTTCCCCAACCAAATTTCCCTCTGTTCCCTTGTTTTAATTCTTTCTCAAATACCTAATCATCTTTATTGAGCAATAATATGATCTTAAAAAAACACCGAAATGTGAAAACTAGGCCCATCACTTTAATTTGGAAAATTGGCCTGACTGTGAACTCTGTGTGGTGGATTAACTCTTACACTGCCATGTACCATTAGAGCCAGAAGCTGATGGGCTCTTCTGTCCAGCTGCAAGTTCCAGCTTGATCTTTTTTCTATTATAACTAATGTTGCAGTAAACATCTTAGGCATGAAACCGTCTCCATGATGTAGATTAGGTATAGCCTAGATTCTTCAGAAGTGGAAATTTCCAAGATGAAACTCAGGAACATTTTAAGGCTTGTGATACACAGTGCCAAACTATTTTCCAGAAAGGTCTTACTAATTTATACTTCCATCAGCTGGGTGAAAGCAAGCCTGCCCATTGTACCTTTGTAAGAACAGAGTATTTTTAATTTTTGGTAATTTTATACCTGAAAAACAGTATCTCATTGCTGTTTTCCATGGAATTTCTTGATCAGAAGTAAGGTCGAATATTTTCAGAATGTTTATTTGCCATTTGTATTTCCTCCTTTGAAAATTTCCCACTGTACTCCATGTCTATTTTTCCTTAGAAGACTCCATTTTTTTTTTTTTTTTGGCCCTTCTTTGGTGAAATAATATTTTTTCTATCAAGGATATTAAGTCAGCTTTTGACATACTGGTTGTGAATATGTTTCCATGTTACATTATTTTTAGGTTATTTTGCTGATATTTATTGACATGCTAAGGTTTTAGATAATCAAATCTGTCAATCTTTGGGACTTTTGTTTTCTTTTTTAACTGGAAATTTAAGTTGGTTAAACTATGTTTTTAAAAGATAATACATGAACATGATACAAAAATAAAAAGATACAAAGAAAAGATTTTCAGTGAAAACTGTCTCCATCTCAGTTCCCTTTCCTGGGGAAACCATGCTCACCAATTTCTCATATTTGACAAGAAAAGTCCAAGTTCATATAAATATCCATCTACACTCACTCCTTTCTTTCTTTGTGATTCCTTTAATAGCTTTTTAAATTTCACATTTTCTTTATTCATAGATCTAATAAAAATTTACCTGTATTTTTTCTACATTTAAAGAAAATGTAACAAAACACTTAATGTTTAGTATTCCAGAAATTAATCTTTTAACCATTCACTTAGCTCTTGAGTCTATCTGGCATTAATGGAAGTAAGCTGCACATTTTCTACAAAGTAGCTAATCTAATTTTTCCATCATTATTTACTGAATAATTCATTTCCTAGTAATTGTCTTATGTATATATCAGGTTCTATTTCAGGGCTGTCTTTTCTGTTCGTTCAATTTTTCAATTCTACAATACTAATTTTGTTAAGTTCCACACATTTAAAAAGGTGCTTCCTAGTGTATTTTATGTCTCTATTGTTGCTGTAAACAAAATCTCTGTGTTTTCCTCATTAGAACTTTTAATGAATTATTGTCCATTACGTCAGCCTACATCATTTTTGTATCTATTTTTTGTTCCTTTTGCCCCTCACCAAGTTTTATTGTTCACAGGCTTGCCCCCATTAAAGCCACAGCAGTGTTACCTGCGCACAAACCTTGTTGTACAGCCCCCACTGAGGGGCTCCTGCCCGGGTCCTTGGGGGCGAGGCCTGGCCATGGCGCTGGATGGCTCAGGATCGGTCTGTCTGGCCCGCTTCTCTATTCCTGCCAGCAGCTCCCCACCCCGCCGTGGACTGCTCCAGCGGGTAAGGGAAGGGCAAGGACTGGTGGGAGGAAAGCAGGTCAGGCTCTGGCCTCTCTCCACCAGCTGTCCTGGCTCTTCCATGGGTGCCCTGCTGCTGGGCTACACTGCAGGCTCCTGCCTGAGCTGGGAAACTGAGGCAGGCCACCAAGTCCTCCTCTGTCCTGACAGAAGGCGCTGTGAGTCCACCCTAAGGCAGAAGGCACCATTCTGCCTCCCTTCTCGGAATAAGAATCCTGCTGCTCCAGCTGCCAGGAAGCCATTCTGGGGGGAAATGGTCTCTCTTCTGGGCCTCAGAGCTCATTTCCTGCCTCTGGCAGTGGCCCATGTAAGTGCAGCGCCTGCCAGCCCTCAGGTCTTGCAGGAGAGCCCGGGGGTCACGTACAGGTGGACACCCTGAGGACAGTGAGTTCACGCGTAGTCACCAGCAAGCTAGGAAACCGTGCAAGATGCGCCTTGGCCCGCAGGCTCCAGAACCACGAAGACCCTGCTCTGCCTTCACCTCCTGTAATGAATATCCACTCTCCCAGGCATAATCTGAATAAATGAAGTTACCCTCCAAGGGCCTCAGAAGCAAATATTACAACACCGCGTGGCTATTTCCAGGACTAGAAAGAATGAGGCTCTGATCTTCGGGCCACGATGGCTGAGTCCAGGCAAGGGGAGATCACGTCTGCAGTAAGCTGTCTTGCACACTTACCTGAAGACCACAGATGCGGGGACGCCTTCCACACTCCAGCTGAATTGAAGGAACATGAAGACACAGGTTCAGGCCAGCACCGCTGTCCACAGGCCTGCCCCTCTGCTCCCCGCCGCCTCATCCCAGACCACCAGGGCCCAGAAAGGTCAGCGTGGAACCCGCACCACCTGCCAAGCATCGCGGCTTCAGGTCAGTAACCATCCTTCTTGTCTGTTTCCCAGAAGGGACAGGCCTGGTGGGAGTTGGGGGCTGAGCCAGAGGGCAGGGTTTCCTTCCAGAATCCACTTCCTTATGGCGGGCACAGCTCTGGTCAAGTCCTCTCCGGGCGGATTCTGAGTTTGGAAGAGGCTGGAGCCCTGACGGGCGGCCCCTCCCTCGGACCTTGCTCGGTGCGCGGCGAAGCCCTGCACACTCTCCTCCAGGGTCCGGCAGGCGTCTGCCTGTGTCCGCTTCTCCAGCGCCGCTCCCGCTGCAGCTCTGCGGCTCCCGCCGCTCGCAGGCCGGCAGCTGGCGCTGGGCCTTGTCCGGGAGGTCAGGCGCGGCCTCAGCTCGCGGCTTCCAGAGCAGGGCGCCGCGCAGCCGGCAGGTTGTACTGGATGTAGGCTCTGGCAGATGGCGGCGTATAGGCCCAGAGGGTGAGTTCCAGAGGGAACGGCTGCCGCTCTGGTCCCTGCTCGGCTGCAGCCCGCTTCATCTTCCTTTCACCCGGGGGCTCCAGGAGGTCTGAGAAGGCGCTGCTGAGGCCAGGCTCCGGGCTACCCCGGGGGGAGACAGGCAAAGCGGAGGTGCTGGGGCCTCTTGCACAGGTAGGCGGGTAACGCCAGGAGATAGAGGTGGGGAAGATGGAGCTGCGGGTCCTTGGCCCTCAGAGCGGCTCTTCCGGCCTCACCGGAGCCAGCCGACTTCAGCGGGGCCAGGTGGGTAACCGAGCCCCTTGGTCCTGCTTGTTTGGCACAACCTAGAGAAAGAAAAATACTGCGCGAATTCCCTGCGTCAGCCTGTAGTATCCACTGATTCCCATCAGCGCAAGCAGTTCTCCTCGAAGAGATTGGGGCAGAAGCAGATGTACTCGGATTCTGGGTCCCACGGCTGCTGGACGCTGGAGCCCGGCGCCGGGGACTTGGCCAGCTGCAAGCCTTGCCTTGGGGTGTCCTTCTGGGCAAACCTGAGGAAGAAGGCGCGGTGGCTCTGCGTCTGGCGTGTGTCCCGCGTGCAGCCTGAGGGCAGCAGGGACGGGGCGCGGCTTCGCCGTGGCTCCCGGTGAAAGTCTCACGGGGGTGCGGCCCGTATTTACTTTTTAGGGAGTTAGCTGTTCAGCTCGTCTTAATTATAATATTTTTTCAGATCATTCTTTTGCGTTTTCTAAAAAGATTTCTGTATTGTGTCTGTACCTTTTATATATCTCACGGCTTATTGTGTCAGAATTTCCTAAGCTATTACACATAGAAACAACAAAAAAAAGCAAGAATGCTGGTTTAGTTTCTGATTTTTAATATAAAGTTTATGGCCAAAAGCAACAGAATACTGTAAATGTTTTAAATCATAGAGGATGCACCACTTTCTTTTTCTTTGAAAGTTTAAATATTTGTCTAAATTTTTAAAAATGTCCTCTCAGCATCTAAAGAGGTAACCAAGCATTTTTTTCCTAGATGGCTTATGGATGTGAAGTTTTATGTTATCGTATAGAATGAAATTTCCGGATGTGCATCCATCACCACATTCCTAACAAGAACACCACTTGGTTTGGTGGACTGTTTAGTATATTTTCTTTTACCTTTCTCCTTTGTTGGTGACTGTGCTCTTTTATTTTAATGCAGCAAAATTATTAGTATTACTTGTGCCAGAATCTATACAGCAAATAGTCACTTACAGAGTCAAATCATAGGAAAAAGTGGAATATTAGAGGGCAAAGTAATGATGCTGACTTTTCAAAAAACCTCTACCACAATAGAAAAACCAAAACCATCCTTAGGGGTGAAAAATAACAGAGAATGCCTTTGGGCTAAAATCACTATCTTTGGCCATAACTATTCTTGTAAAAAGCAGTTATTTTAATGGCATCATCTTGAAACATGAACCAACATCATCTTGGTTATTTTATATAATAAAGGTAATATATACATAAAGTCAGATGAAACAGAACCAATACCATAGACAGAAGGAAGCCTATATTCCAACTGTAAATGCTAAGATGGTTAATATGATTGATCCATAACATTTTCTCTAAGGCCAAGAAGAGGAGGAAATGGTGTACCATGTTGCTTGCAGAACATATGATAGTATCTGGTACATAGTTGACACTCAGTAAAGGTTCACTAATCTAATTTATCTAATTCCTAAAAAATTGAAGTTTAGTTGATCGATTATTGTGTTAGTTTCAGGTGTACACTATAGTGGTCCAGTATTTTTGCAGATTACATTATAGGTTATTATAAGATAATAGGTATAATACAATATATTATATTAGCATATAATATAATGCTCTATTCTAAATTCTTGTTGCTTGTCTAGTTTATATATAGTAATTTGTATCTATTAATCCCATACCCTTGATTTGTCCCTCCCCTCTTCCCTCTCCACTTGGGAAACCACAAGTTTATTTTCTGTGTCTGTGAGTCTGTTTCTGTCTTGTGTGTGTGTTCAGTTGTTCAGTCGTGTCTGACTCTTTGCAATCCTTTGGACTGTAGCCTCCAGGCTCCTCTGTCTATGGGATTTTCCAGGTAAGAATACTGGAGTGGGTTGCCATTTTCTCCTCCAGGGGATCTTCTCGACCTAGGGATCAAACATGTGTCTCCTGCGTCTCCTTCACTGCAGGTGAATTCTTTATTGCTGAGCCACAGGGAAGCCCTCTGTCTTATATATATGTTCACTTGTATTATTTTTTATATTCCACATATAAGTGATATTCTATAGCATTTGTAGGGCTTCCCTGGTGGCTCAGATGGTAAGGAATCTGCCTGCAATGTGGGAGACCTGGGTAAAGAATCCATCTGCCAATGCAGGATATATAAGAGACACGGGTTGAATCCCTAGGATCCCCTGGAGAAGGGCATGGCAACCCACTCCGGTATTCTTGCCTGGAGAATCCCATGGATAGAGAAGCCTGGCGGGCTACAGTCCATGGGGTCACAGAAGAGTTGGACACGACTGGGCAACTAAACACACATAGTATTTGTATTTCTCTGTGTGACTTGTTTCACGAAGCATAATATTCTCATTGGTTTTAATTAAATAGGAAAGAAGATTTTGTTGGCACTAATTTTCAAAATTTAATTGTTTGAAAAAATTTATGGATCTTAATTTAAAATTTAATTTAAAAAATAGGAAATAAGAAAAAAGTCTCCCATTTCCCCTGCTCATTATTCTTCAACAAAGTGCTGAGTTATTACTTTCTGATATATCCTTCCAATGATTTTACATATATATATTTGAGTAAATGTAGGTATGTATGTATAGAAACATATGATACACATACATTCATACACATATACACTCCCCCACTCCTTATTTTACACACAAATGGTAGCATAATGGACATACACATCTGCCTCTTGCTCTTTCACCTCATACTGAATCTTGGAAATCTTTTCAAACTAACATATAAAGAGTTTCCTTATTCAGTTTCATGGTAGGATAGTATTCCGATGTAAGGTTGTACCACTTGTTTTTATTGTTCAGTTGCTAAGTCATGTCCGACTCTTTGCAACCCCATGGACTGTAGCCTGCCAGGCTCTTCTGTCCATGGAACTTCCCAGGCAAGAATACTGGAGTAGGTTGCCATTTCCTTCTCTAAGGGATCTTCTCATCCCAGGGATCGAACCCACATCTGTGTCTCCTGCATTGGCAGGCAGATTCCCTATCCCTGAGCCATCAGGGAAGCCCACGGTTGTACCATAGTGAATTTAATTTGTCTCCTATTGATGACCATTTAGGCAGTTTCCAGTCTTTGAAATTACGAAAAATGTTGCATTGACTAACCTCATATGCAAGTTAACGTCACACTTACAGGAGCAGTTGTATAGGACAAATTCCTATAAGTGGAAGTAGATTTGTGTCTTTTTATTACACTCCTGTTTTATTTTTCCCCTGGTTGTTGTATCATTACCATCACTGTTACTTCTGCGGCTGTTGTTGCTGCTACTAACACTACACAGGAGATAGAGAATCAGTTTGTCTAGTTCTGAAGGAACATTTCTGATGGTGTTTTTATTAAAATATTTTTACTAAGGGATAACACATACTTATGATACTGGGTTTCCTATGTAACAACATAGCATGCCTCTCACCTGAAACTATCACAACATTGTTAATTGACTATACCCCAATACAAAATAAAAAGTTAAAGAAAAAAGAACAAAGCATGCCTCTCTACTTTTCAAGTACA